CTAATATTCTGAAATAATAAAAAGAATGGTTGAATAATATAGGCTGAAGTTGCCTACCTCCAGAGAGGATTTACATTTGCTTCTGCCAGGTGCCTATGGATACTGGCACTATATTATAATATAGTCGGGAACTATATTAATTTAAATTAACAGCTTGAGGATTTGTGGGTGATATCACCCTGGTGTTGTGAAAATTGAGCTGCAAATCCATATGAGGGCTAGTTTATTTCTTTTCCCTCTTACCCTGACCATGTACCCCCACAGGGACTCAGCTTGATGAAGGAAAGTTCTCATTTAAACTCCCTACCATGGGTGGACCCTGGCTTTGATATCCACCCCTTTGACCTGTTAGACTATCAGAACCAAAGTTCAACTTTGCCTGGATTAGTAGATACCCTTAAAGCAAAAGTAGTTCCCATTTCCCCTTCAGTTTTGGCCTGATAATTTGTTACTAGCTTGTCAGTTATTTGATGCTTTTTGGACATATTTTAAAAGTATTTTACTAGAATTTTTGGCTCTTTTCTCTGGGAGGAGTGGTCTAATAACCTAACCCACCATTTTTGAAAACGAAGGTTTCTCATCATATAATTACATTTTTTTCCATGATCACATTTTCATCATTTTTCCTTTATTTTCACTTTTCTCATCCCCAAATCATAACTGTCTTCCTATATGTTACTCTAATACTGTTTTATTTTTCTACTTAAATGTCTAGTTAATCAGAATTCATTTTTGTATGTGGTTACTATAATGCATGTTTAAATCTATCACCTGAAATCTAGTGTCTTGATTATATTTCAGGAACACTGGACATGCAGAGCTATTTTTCAGTTCCAGAAGTTGTGTGGTTTGAAGCCTTTAGTGGGGGTAGTGGATGAATATGTAGATGGAATCCTTAATATTTTTCTTTGTGATACATCCTCACATGAAGACATCTATTTCCATCATGTCTTGAGAACAGAGGGCCATGCTATTGTATGCCGAGAAAATGTCCCTTCTAAGGTAGAGCAGTCTGGATGTTTTTGGTAACGTATTTTTTGTTTAATCTCAATACTTCCAGGTATAAGAGAATTTAATTCAGAAAGTTATTTGGTTTATTCTTTAATCTTAAAGATACCTATGAGATTCCTGTTTTCTTAATGCAGAGCATTCTCTTAATTTTTCGAGGAACACAAAAAAAAACTAAATTTGGCTAAAGTGTCCTTTAGAATGTGAATACTTTTAAAAGTATTCTCTTACCCCAAAGTATTTAGTTATTTTGTTCTAGAGAAGAACAACATTATTATTTGCAATTATTGGTAGTGATATCTACATCACTGTTAATGTTGATATTTTTGTAACTATCAAAAACAGTCAATATGGAGAAACTTTTTAACTATTTAATTTGGAAGATAATATACTTCCACAGCATTTGAAAATTATGAAGTGCTAACCTTTTCACCTTTTCTCTCTTGGTCATGTAAAAGTAAACCCTTTCTTCTCTTGTTTTAATCCTAGGGTTTCAGAGAACTCAATCCTTTAGCTTTATACACTAAGTCCAGTGGAGGGCCAGAGGACATTGTTTTGACAGAACTGGGTTGTCCTTCCCAGCAGCACTATTTTAACGAAGACCGAAAGATAAGTCCACAATCAAAAGAGAGTGAGTTACATACCTTGGTAAGAGGTTTTTGCGGATACTATAATTCTTCTTATCACTATGATCCTCATTTTGTAGATGAAGAAACTGAGGCCTTCAAAACTTAGGAGAGTTTCAAACTTTTGCACAATGATCTTAAAAATTACTTTGTCTCATTATTTGCCAGTTTAAACCTTTGCTTCAGTCATGCTTCCTCCTGAATAATTTCTTTCTTATGCTAAATTCCACTGCCGTGTTTGTGCAGTTGTGACTTCCCCTACACCGGATCTGAACGCTGTTCTTCTTCCCTCTACACTGCTCAGGTTCTTCAAGTGTTGTCATTTGTTACATTCTTTACAAACATTTGTCAACTCCCTCCTTACAGTAATAATAATAATAATGTATAATATTATTACATATTATTCCAGCCCGCAATAGTAATAATGTTATTTGTTGAACTTGTACTACGTGCACTACTGTTAAAAAGCAGTGACATGTATTAGCTAATTTAATCTTTACAACACATTACCAGTTGGTACTTTCATATCATCATAATAAATATAGGTTGGGCATCCCTAATCCAGAATTCCAAAATGCTCCAAAGTGCAAAACTTTTTGAGGTGCCAACATACACCACAATTGGAAAAATTCCACACCTGACCTCAAATGATGGATCACAGTCAAAATGCAGTCAGAACTTTGTTTGATGCACAAAATTATTTAAAATATTGTATAAAATTGCTCTCAAGCTGTATGTATACGGTATATTGGAAATGTAAATGAAAAGTTATTTGAACCTTTCCCATCCCTAAGATATCTCATTATGTATGTGCAGATACTCCAAAATCCAAAAAAATCCAAAATTCAAAACACTTCTGGTCCCAAGCATTTTCGATAAATGATACTCAAACTCCATAAAAGGCATC